GGCGCTGCCCTGTGCTCCTAGGAGGAGGCCTTGGATTGAGGCATCCTTGAAGCCGTTGTGCTGCTCTGAACGTCTGGCTTATGGTGGGACACAGCCTGGCCCAGCTGTTACGGGCCTGCTCCCACCGCTGTTCTCCTGCTGTCCTTGGAGATAGTCTTTGTGTGGCTCGCAGGACAGGGCCAGCTGTCTTACCTCGGGTGGGGAGAGCCTTCAAGGACTGACTGGTTGGCCCTGGGATGTGGCCCATTTAAACAACAGGCCAGTGAGTGTCAGGTGCGGGGGCCGCTGTTTAGCTGGCCACGGAGAAGCTCCCTAGGGCAGGGGTGGGGGTGGGTGACTTGTAGAGTAGAGCGGACACTGCCCACTCCTGGCTGCCACCCTCAGCATCTGGTCCCATGTCTCACCTCCTTCCTCCCATCTTGTTTTTAAGCATTTGTTTATTTTATTCATGGGAGAAAGTTCGTGCTCCCACGTGCAGGGGCAAGGGTTCGTGCTCCTGTGCAGGGGTGAGGGCTCGTGCTCCTGTGCAGGGGTGAGGGCTTGTGCTCATACATGCAGGGGCGAGGGCTTGTGCTCCCACGTGCAGGGGTGAGGGTGCCCTCAGAACCTTGTTGAGCCAGGGTCCCCTTTCACAGGGGACCCTCCATGTCCTTAGGAAGCAGGGCACACACATGCCTGATGCGTCTAGGGCGACTGGGGGTCTGAACCCAGGGTCAGCAACATGCTTACAGCACTTCAGTGCCATGGGCACAGCCTGCCCCCAGCTGGCTACCCCGTTCTCTGTGTCACACGTCCAGGGAGCCAGGCAACAGTGGCCAGGTCCCTCCTCAGCATCTGTGCGTTACCTGGAGCTCGCCACTCACCTGTGGCCGTTGCTTTGCCTGTGCAGTTTGTGAATGGTGACTGCGTCCCGAGTGTTTGCTGGTGCAGGGAGACGGTGGGTCAGCCCCGTGCAGGTGCGTGAGTTTATGAAGCCCAGGGGCCAGCCAGCCTGCAGGTGGGACCCAGAGAAAGTGAAAGACCGGCTTCCTTCCACCCGAGCTGTTACCAAACCCATCACCCTCCAGGCAGCCCTGCCTCCCCCTGGGCCGGGTTAGCCCTCACGAGCTGCTGGCAAAGGCCGGCCAGAGCCGATCTGTGGTCTCACGGTGAGGTCAGACGGCTCTGCTGACATAGAGCAGGCACTCCTCGGCAGCTCGCTGAGCGCAGTGGACGCAGGGCTCTGGGTTTGCCTTGCAGCTTCCTCGGTAGGGAGGGCTGTTTTATAAGAGGGACCTAAGGTGCTCACAGAAATCAGCGTGTGGCTCGGAGACAGTACTGGACTGCCAGTGCACGTCCCACCAGCCCTCACAAGTCGAGCTGCACGCGGTGGGTGCCGTGCGCCTGCCCCATCCCCCCACGTGACTGGATTTCCTCACTGGCCCATCCACACAGCTCCTGGTTTGGCCCTTGTGGAGGGACGGTGATGGAAGTCTCGTCTTCACCCGAGCCGGCAGTGAGTACCCAGCATGCGGGACATCTAAGTCCAGGGACACCCCCTTTTTCTCAGAACAAGGGACACCTGTGCTTCTCGGTGGCTGCCCTCCGTGTGGACGTCCGCAAGTCCTGCCAGTGGTCTTGCGTTCTCTCCGGCACGTCTGTGGGTGCCATGCCTGTAGATTCACCCGCCAGACGCCTTGAGCCGGAAGGCCAGAGGCTATGGTTTTGAGAGATGCTGCTGTTGCCTTCCTGGGGCTTCCCCGAGGCACCGGTGCCCCCAGCCAGTTAGCCCCCGGCCTCCTGTCCCTCCATCCTTGTCCCACCACCATGCAGGTGCTTCTGAGAGCATGAAACCCAAGATGTGGAAAGGAGGAGCCTCTCTGAGCCCGAGAGCGGGACCCTGCCCTTCCTGGGCTTAGCATTGCCCAGTCCCTGAAAGCTCAGGCCCACTGAGGGCAGCGGCGTGGGAGCGCACCAGCTCTTCCCCCGCGGGTGGGAGGGAATCACACCCCTCCACCTTCCGGGGTCTGGCCCACACCCGCAGGACACCCTCAGGCCGAGCTGCCGCCTGAGACATTGCTGCCCGCAGTCACACCGGGAAGGGTTCTTCAAGGTCATGTGGATGAGGCTGGGCATGCACCAGCTCTGTCCTGGTGAGGAGTAGGTCAGGGCAGAACAGAGTTGTCCGTGGGCTGGTCAGCACCTGACCTCCTCCAGGACCCCCACAGCCTCCGACGCCCCAGGCTGGGGGCGGTGAGGCTGTGAGGTGACCCTCCCTACCACCCCCTGCTGGGGGAACTGCCAGATGCAGAGGCCCTACCCACATCTCCTCCAAGCCTGGCTGGGTTCTGTTTGTTATTTTCTATGGAAGAGGCCAGGTCTTTGCCTCTCCTGTGAGGGTGCGCTTCCCCTCAGGAGATGTGGTCATCACGCGGGGCCTTCTCCCTCAGCAGGGGTTGTCCTAGTCCGGCCCCACCTCTGCACGGCACAGACAGGCCTGACACGAACTCCTCAGTCCTCACTGCCTCCATCGGCTTCTGCCTGGCCCCTCTGCCCTCCCTGGAGACGGTTTACACTCCCGCCCGCCCGTGGCGGAGGGCAGCAGGCTCCCAGCACCTGTGAAGTCCCGCCCGCAGATGGGCAGGGTCACCGAAGCAGGTTGTCACAGTGCCCGTGCTCCTCCGAGGGCCGAGCCCCACTGTCCGGGAGCGCAGTCCGCTCTGTACGGAGGGAGTCAGGGCGCCCCCACACTGCACCAGCGGCCGTGTGGACGGAAGCCATACTCAGCCTGGGGGCTGGTGTAGCTAGGCCGCAGCTCCTGGCCGGCCCCGAAGGCTCCCACGTCCTGAACGTGGAGTTGCACGCCACCGCTCTTGTCGTCGAACTGTTTAAGCCGAGGACGCAGTGCCAGACTGTGCAGGTGACTGAGGGCCTGGACGTGCTCGGTCTGTCTGTGAAGATGTTGTAGGGTGCAGGCCAGCCGGCGTTGCTGACCACGAGGGACGTGGGGCCTGGCCGCTTCCAGGGGACACCTTTGTTCTGGGCCTGACTCGGTCCACCGTCGCATTCCCGGGGCCCAATTGCAGCTGCAGATTTCTGGTGTGTGGCCCTCGGATAAGCCCCGCGTGCTACTGGCTGCTCCCTTCTGCTGACGCCACCTGTGCTGAGTGCAGCATTTCCGTTACCTCCTGTGGCAGGGGCCGAGCTAGCCCAACATGGACCCCTTTCTCTTTGGCAACCTTCCTGGTTCTCGATGGCTTTTTTTTTTTTTTTTTTTTTTCTTCATTTTTTTTTTTTTTTACT